GCAGAGCCTATTGTTTCCAATAACTGAGAGACCACTTGCATTTGAAAAGATCCCTTCTTTAGGCAATTCACCCTCAAAATCGTTATAAGAAAGATTGAGATGGTTAAGATGCGTAAACTTGCCTAAAAATTTAGGAATCTGCCCAGATAAGTTGTTGCGTGAAATATCTATTTCTTCCATACTTCTTAAACTTTTAAGAGATTGAAGAATTGTTCCTTCAAATTCATTACCTTCCAAATACAGGCGCGCCAACATAATACAACTGCCAAGAGTTGTTGGAATTTCACCTGATAACTTATTTCCTGATACATCCAGCTCCACAAGTTTTACCAAATCACCCACTTCATATGGTAACGAACCAGTTAAATAATTTTGAGAAATGTCCAAAGAAATTTAAAGGGATGAAACTTCGACAAGCTCTCTAGGTATAGTGCCTGTTATATTGTTATAAGAAAGGTTGAGTTCGAGTAGACTTTGGCAATTCCCAAGACTTGGAGGTATACTTCCCTCAAACCTATTGTTGAACATGTACAGTTGTGTCAATGAAGTCAAGTTACCCAGTGAGGACGCTATTGGTCCAGAAAATTTGTTATCATTCAAATACAGCCCCACTAACTTTTGAAGCTTCCCAATTCCATCTGGGACTGTACCAGTTAGACGGTTAAAGTCCAGTCCTAATACGGTTAAGTTTACAAATTTTCCAATGTCGTCAGGAATGCTTCCATGGATTAAATTGGCCCCGAAATAAAGATATTTTAGTTGGGTAGAAAGGTTGGCTATGGATCGTGGAAATTCTCCTCCAAATTGATTAGTAGAAAGATCCAACATCTCTAGGCTAGTACAATTAGCCAAGAAACTGAGGAAATTCAAATCGTCAGTTTTCCTGTTTCCCAAACTATTCTCACCAAAGTTTAGGCTAACTAAGCTTCGCAAGCTTCCAAGATTTTCAGCAGGGAGTGTCCCAGTGAAACCATTATAAGGAAAATCAAGGATCTGAATTCTAGAAGAATTTAACAACGATGCGGGAACAGTTCCTGTGAATTTGTTGACACCACAGTGAAAAGTTTCGAGATTAGGAAGATTAATGCTGAGATTTTGTGGTAGCTCTCCATGAAGCTGGTTGACAGCAACACTAAAATTCTTTATGGAAGAAATATTATAGATTGAAGAAGGAATAATACCATACAGATTATTCGCTGCTAGCGAGAACACCTCCAAGCTGGTCAGACGCCCGAGCTCATTGGGTATGCTTCCTTGAAAATTGTTCCGGGAAAGAAAAAGTTCATGCAAAGAAGAAAAGTTTCCAATCCAGGCCGGGATTGCTCCAGTGAGGCTGTTAATATCAATCCATAGAATATTTAAATTCAACAATGAACTAAGTTGGTTAGGAATGGACCCAATAATATGATTGGAATAAAGATTCAGCACACGTAGTTGTGTACAGTGAGATATATTAGTTGGAATTTTCCCGCCCAAGGAATTTTGAGACAGGTTGAGAGCTTGCAGGCTTTGTAGACGACCCATTTCTTGAGGAATTTCACCATGGAAGCTGTTGTTTCTTAGGTTGATTCCAGTAAGATGAGTAAGATTTCCAATAGAAGGTGGTAAGGAGCCTACCAATTTATGAGAATTCAGCTTCAAAATCAACACTCTTTTGGTGGAAGGGTTGCACGTAACGCCAACCCAATTGCAGAAATGAATGGAATCATTCCATGAGCCCAAGACATGGAAAGGATCTCGAGTGATTCTTTTCTTCAAGTCCAGCAGCGCCAGGCGATCAGTTTCACTTCCAAAAGTATTACCACTAGACAGAGTTGCAGATTCCAGAGGTGTGCTCATGCTCATGCTCATGCATAAAAGAATGAACCCATTAAGGAATGGAAACAAAATCAGCCTACCAAGAGTAGTGCGTGAATGCCCCATCCTTTTTTCTTTTTTTTTAAGTAAAAAAAATACAGAGCAAATCAGAAACCAAAGTGTTTGTTTTTTCTTCCCTTTTGCTGTCAAAATAAGAAACCAAGTTTGGTTTTACATGAATGCATAAGAAAGAAGAAACCCCACTACATATATAGGAAAGGGTAATGCTAGGTGTTTATACCCAAAATGAACAGCCAATGAGAACGAGACACGTGGAGGAAATCGAGCCTGGTCAGGGACGCCCTCGGCACCCTACCTACCGATCGCTCCATTAGGGCAACACACTCTTCTGGGACACGTGGCATGCTCCCAAGCGACGTCCATAGTCCCACATCGAAATTATCAACGAAGTGCACACCTCTCAAGGCCTATAAAAGAGGCCAACTACCCCAAAACAGAGGTAATCAGAATTTACGGCATACAAGCCTATTGATCTGCCAGTTGAACTTTCTAATTCCGAACTTACTTAAGCATCGGAGAGCCTTCGGCCGGTACCACACCGGTGCCCAAGGTCTTACCGAGCGTTTGCTACTTTCGCAGATTGCTCTCCATACCGAGACCACAAGGATACCGAAGGCATAAAATTACTAAGTTGACCCTTAAAGCCTGTGAACCAGTTTTTGACGTCAACACTAGGCTTATCACATTTTTATACCACATTGTGTATCACCTCTCTAATAGAGATGAAACCCACCAATATAATGGGCCCATCTGAATATTGAGATAGATAGTAAATGTGAGGATATATACAAATTAGAATCAAGCTTTCACCGTGTCTATAGGGAATATGAAGACCAAATTAGTCCGCGCGAGTCGCCGGGTCCTTGGCGTCACATTCAAGGTGTGCTCATGACTAATTTGCTGACTTGTTATTTATTCTTTTGCTGACTTGTTATAGTCATTCAACTAGGCGAAGATATTTATTTGTTCCAACAATAACAACTAAACATGGATGGCTGGCCCTGCAACAACTATGAATTGGAGAAATTGTTTGTTGTGATTTGATTGAGTGCAATACTACAATGGATCGATACGAGAAAGACTTTCATGCAACATGAATAACACTTTTTGTTATTCCCGATCAATGACGCAATCACATGAGATAACTTTTCCACATATCATTGTGTTATTGGCCAGGAATAGCAAAATAGTGCTATCCCCGTTACAAGTAAGTTTTTTTTGCATCTATACACCAATTTCCCAAGAGGAGTGGTGGAGGTAATGAATGCCTATAAGGGTCACTTGACCCTCCTCAATTTGTCCAATTTCATATTGTTCAAGTCATTCAACAAGGGGAAGATAGTTTTTTGCTCCAACAATAACCCGTAAACATAGATGGCTGGCCCTGCAAGAGATAATATGAATTGGAGAAATTGATTATTCTGATTTGATTGAATGCAAATACTACAAGACTCAATACAAGTCTGTTTCTTAATTTGGAATTATACTTTAATTTTCTGTATCTGCAGGCCCTACCACAGTGGCATTATTCAAAGCAGCTAGAGGGAAACTGGCTCTTAGTCATTGATGCACGAGCATCTCACGTGTCCATCAAGGCATTAATCTCCCAATAGGGTAAGTCAAGTGTAGGGTTTCCATGCTACATAGCATTACCTTGTAAAGCATATGCAATTTCTGTTGAATTTATGAATATGAGAAAACGTGGCATGGTTTGTTTGTGTCAAACAAAACAAAGTAGGGCAAATATTCAGTTATGCTAAGATACGCTCATATTTGCTCATATTATTATTCTTCTCCAATATGGAGGTATTTATACAAGTACAAAGATGTGTTAACCTTAAATAAAATAGGAAATATATCTAAATTACAATAGGAAGTAAATCTCTATTACAATAGGACTAAATAATAATTGATAAGTAACCAAAATTCTAATGAAATAAGGAACCAAAATCCTAACTAAGTAAGGACTCGCCAACACTCCCCCTCAAGTTGGGCAAAGATATTTCGCACACCCAACTTGACAAGCGAGTCACAGAACACCATACTTGAGAAGCACCAATTGTAGAGAAGGTCTTTTCGTCAACCACGAGTGAAACAAGTGACAACCTAAAGCAAAGTTCGCAGCGGAAACACAAGAGCAAACCCTAAAAAATAGGGCACATAGAAGAACACAGAAACCCTGTGAGCACGGCTAAGAATACAGAAACCCTGTGAATTCGGTTAAAGGACACAAAAACCCTGTGAACACGGCTAAAGGACACAGAAACCCTGTGAACACGGCTAAAGGACACAGAAACCCTGTGAACACGGCTTAAGAACATAGAAACTTCTCTTCAATTCTCTTCTCCCCCTGAAGAGAAGGGTATGTCGGAGTCAAGAAAAAGGAAAAATCTCCATGATAAAGAGAAACAGATCCGTTTTCACTCCCCCTCCCCCCCTTGAAGAGGAGGGGAGGAGAAATTTTGATATGATAATTTAGAGACAACCGAGGATCGATGGCTCTGATACCATGCTAAAATATGAATATGGGTTTGAATATGTTAGGTTCTTATTTTTATTCTTCTCCATAAGGAGGTATATATAAGAGTTTACATAAGTGCTTTACAAGGAATTAGATCCAGTAAAGGATTAGGAAAGTATCTCCTAATTATACAATGATTTGACAATTATATAAAATAGGAAAGTAAATCCCTTAATTAATCAAGGAAATAAATCTCCTTGATTAATTAGGAGACTCACTTCAACCTGGCTCTAATACCATGTCAAATTTTCCAGGTTAACGGGCCGAGGGCCCACTCCAACAACACCGATACTGTTCCCACTTTACCACCTGCACAATCTTCAGGTGTGGGGTTTTATCACAAAAGGCCTCGGTATTAGTTAGAGAGGGGTATTTCTATTTAAACTACTTTCTCTTTGGCCCTCTGGCCGATGTGGGACAACAATGAGTTCCAACACTCCCCCGCACGTGAGACCCCATTTTTATGGGTCACACGTGGAGATCCACATCGGCAACCACGTGGAGCCATGTAGGGACTCACCCATCGCGCGGGGCCAAACGGGGGCCCACCCATCACGTGGCACCTTTGGCCTACGTGGAGCCAAACGGGGACCCACCCATCATGTGGCAAGTACGGGCCCGCAACCTGGCTCTGATACCATGTCAAACAAAGTAGGGCAAATATTCAGTTATGCTAAAATACGCTCATATTTGCTCATATTATTATTCTTCTCCAATATGGAGGTATTTATACAAGTACAAAGATGTGTTAAACTTAAATAAAATAGGAAATATATCTAAATTACAATAGGAAGTAAATCTCTATTACAATAGGACTAAATAATAATTGATAAGTAACCAAAATTCTAATGAAATAAGGAACCAAAATCCTAACTAAGTAAGGACTCGCCAACAGTTTGCTGCACTAATTGTGAGTTTGTGCAATCATATTTCTCGTATCGCGGGTTGCTTGTTGGAGATTCGTATTCGTGATCTCGTTTCCCATCCGTCATGTTGTCAAAGAACTGCAATTTGTGAGAGACAATCTTGTTAGTGAGTTATTGGTTGAACTAATTAAAGTCAATGCAGCAGCAGCTAAACAATCCTGCTCTCGAAGATTTTGCAGGATTATTCTAGTCATTCAACTGAGGTAGGGACATTTTTTATATAAAAAAATTGATTATATATTGATGTGATTGAATAATGTTGCATTCAATCAAACCTCTCCGATTGCTATACGCATTGACAGAAACCCTTTCCAATCATTTCAATTCAGCTTTACCTTGGCTCGAACCCATCCAAAGAAACGGCATGTATTTCCTCTTAAACAAAATAATTCATGGCAGGTTGCCCATCATATTTGCCATGGTGATTGTTACCCAAGTAGCCTTATTGTAATTTGCACAGACAGACTATTATCAAAGCCAGAGACATTTTCACCCAAATAACTAGAGTGCATTGAAAGTGTTAAAAAGTAATGCACATTTATACTAGAATAATATAGAAATGTTTTGAATAATCTAGAAAAATCAAGAAAGAATGAGAGAAAGTAGCAGTTAGAAATATCTATGAAGTATGACTAGAGAAATCTAGAATCATGTGAAAAATTGTGGTTAAAAACAACTTTGGAAAAGTCAAACCAACTTTTCCAACGCATGCGGCCGACATAGCACTCCTATATATTTCTACTTGTTGAAGGCCAATAAAAAGAGAGAGAAGGCCAATAAGCCAACAAAGAGTGAAAAAGGCCAATAAGACTAGTAAACAATTTCTACTTGTTGAAGGCCAATAAGCCTAGTCTTGTATAAAACCTTGTACCTATTTACCATAAACCAACAGAAAGCAAGAAGAGAAAAACAGAGGCATTGTGTTGGTGGGAAATGAACAGAATGCATAAGAGTCTGTAGCCTGTACCATGCAACGGTCAGACTTTTATATCGACAAATTAATCAGCCAAATCAGCCATTAACAATATCATGAGACCAATGAATCCATGAAGACACAAAGGATATATTAATTATCACATACCAAGCAAAAATCAGTAGACTGTAATGGCATCCTGTCTCATATACAGCAGAGATTGAACACAACAAGTCCAAACCATAACCAACGGTGTAGGATTATAACAGTCATTTCTTCAACAGCTCCTTTGATAAAGAATCATATTCCGACATTAACCATATGCATCATGCAATTAGCATTACGGTATACTATAAATATAAACAGAAACCAACAGGGGAAGTTACCAAATTCACCATAAGAACACCAAAATAATCTCCTATCTGTAACTTCAAATACTGAGACAAATCTGATTCAACGAAAATATTAAATTTCACTAATCCAAGTGCAACATAACTCTACAGTCTTAACACTTTTTACAAAATACTTCCAATATATC